CCCTCCTGGAACAGAGACCACGACGACACAGCATCGACGCGTTCCGGGGGAACCCCTGGGCCCTCCAGTGGGGGACACACATCGCACAGTGGGGACAACAGCAGTGAGCAAGGTAGGGAAGGAGCCCTGGCGCTTGCTTTGTGGAGAGTGGCCGCCAGCGCGCTTGGCCGCGGGGACCAGTCCCTCTGTTTCTGAAAGTTTGAGATGTGCTCAGGTACTAGGGAGCTTATGCTGGGAAAGGGCTGGCTTCCTTTTGTCACTTTTTTTTCCATCTTCTCCTGATAAAAGCATTGGCATCTTCAGTTCTTTTACCTTGCAAGGAGGCACGTGGTAGAGAAACATATGTACCAAATTTGCAGGACGCTTCATAAAAATAAGCAGCAAGAAAGGTTGCTTTATGTTTTGTTTTTATTGTGTTGGGTTTTTTTTTTTCCATTCAAATGGATTAAAAAATGAAATTTTCAAAAGCAAATGTAATTGAAATTGTAGAAACGCATGCTAATATTTAAAGATGCCATCAAAACTTTGCTGCGTGTAAAGATGCTAGATAGCCCATTTTTCAAAATCCCGACCAGAGCTTTTATTTTTCACTCAATTCCCATTTATGTGAATGCAAAAATGTTTTGTTTGAGTGCCAAGCCAAGCAGAGTATTAATGCATCAGGATGGAAGGAGCTCAGTGCCATGCAAGTGGGGTGTGCTGCAAGTCCTTAGTGCTGTGTTGGAGGGTCCAGAGCTTAAAAAGCTGAAGTTCTGTTTTTCTTTTTTTTTTTTCTTTTTTTTTTTCTGTTTAAATGCTTCATACTTTTCCTGAAGAGACCAACTGCAGTGGATTTAGTGCTAATTTAATGCAATTAAAATTTAAAAAGGATCCTTAATCTGAATATAAAAGGGAGCTCTTTATTGGAGCTGACTCTGAGCTCGCAATAGGTATATACTTTTAAATCTGGTTTATGATCATGTTTCATTCAAGTGCTGTTAGACAACAAAGGAATTGTGTTTCCAGAAAAAAAAAGGTTGAACAGTACTGATTAGCATGGCAAAATCTGAGTTTAACAAGATTAGTTTTTAAACTAAACCAGTATTTTTTAATTTTTTATACATGCGGACGTAACTTACGTTGCGAATAGCATCTCTTTATAGAATCTTAAGTATTTGAGACACTTTATTGTTTAAAGAAAAGTTGCTGACTTCATCGCAAGCATAGCCTAGTAAAAATGGGGCCTGGAATAGTAAACTGCTGCAGAGCTGAGGCAGAAACTGGTAACCTTCTGACCTCTGACTTTTACTGGAAAATGATATGCAACATAAATCTAAGGGGCCTTTTTTCTTTCAAGTACATGCACGTATATATCCTGGTGGTGCTGTGCACAATGCCATAGCTGAAGCGGTGTCAGTGTGTTCATTAGAGCTTCTTACTTTTGGGATGGACTTTAAATCCCTGTGTTTTTCTAAGGGTGAAAGGTTACTGCAAAAGCAAGCGCTGTGGTTGTTTAGAGGGAGTTTTGTGCTTGGGTAGGGCTGCTTTTTTGTTGGCCGGGTGTGCGTGTGTTCATGCGTGTACCAAACGTTGGCGTGTACCTGAGCCACTGCGGCACTTGGGAAATGGAGCTCCTTGGTTCCTTCTGTGCTTTTTAACACTTTCAGGCTTTGTCTTCTAAATGTGGCATTTAATTAGTCTGCACTGCAGCCCTAGCTGGTGCCTTGTTGCTCTCATCACTGCCTACTCCCAGCAAGGTGTGTGCTGTGGTCTTGGACAGGAGTGCCTTTTGGGTAGGATGTCAGTGTGCGTTAGCCATCGTGGAAACTCTTACCCAAACTGAGCAGTAAGTTTTGCTGAGGCTGGGTTTGCTGCCAGCTCCTGATAAGAGGCATCTGGTGAGGAAGGGCTTGTTGTGTTGAAACCTTAGGAAATGGTGAACAAGGGGAACTGGCCAGCTAGAGCTCTCAGCTCCAGTTCTAGAAGGAAGTTAAGGGAAGCAGACCCTGTCCAGTGGGTGCCTGGTCCCAGGCCTGCCTTCGGGCCACTTGCCCTCTTGGGTAAGGTCCTCTGTCCTTTTTTGAGTAACAGGGATGTGGGAAGGATAGTGGTGGTCTTGTTGAGCCTTGCTTTGCTCTTGGTTTGCTCTCAGTACTCTGAAGCTGAGATTCAGGGGGAATCTCATTTGTTGAGGCACACTGCCATGCCCATATATTTGCCTTGCGTAAGAAAAGCATGTATTTAGCCTTAGAGCACTGCCCTATGTGTGTGTTGGGCTCCAGGTCCATGGAGGACATGGGGCACACGGACAACAAAGCTCGGGGCCCTCAGTGAAGATTTTTTTGCTTGATCCTTAATCCAGACGATATGCAAGTTCTATTTTGGGGCTTTCTGGAAGGTTTTTTCCTCAACTTGATGTATCACTGCTTTAAATCCCCACTGAGTGTGTTTTTATGTTCACGTACAAAATTCATGGAACAAAACCTTTGCAAACAGGAGAGGCTCCCTTTCCTGTAAACACTTTAAAGTCTTTTTTAATGCGTAAATTTATTTACTTAGCGATAGCAATGACTCCCAGCTGCTCCAAGCTGTTGTGTAAGTCCCTACTTAGCTGCAGGGGAGATGGTTGGCGGTCTCGTGCCACCGAGCAGCAGGCTGTATTATTTCATGGACAGTGACAGTGTCTCACACAAAAGGCCAGCGTTGTGTCATTGCAGTGGACAGTTATAGCACAGGAATGCAAAATAATATTACAGACAAATTTCAAGGGCTGCTATCCTATTCCTTTGAGCGTATTGGGAAGAGGCTCTTTTCTAGTTTTTTTGTGAAGGCCTCAGCCTCGGTTCAGAACGTTCTGTAACCTCCCATAATCATTGCTCTTTTAAGTGCGAGTAGCAATATTTCTTTATCAAAACCTATCAGTGGCTGCAATGTTCTGGGGCCTTTTGCAAGAGCTGGGGCAACCTATGGGCAGACGGCAATCCCATTTTTATTTGACTGCTCTCCAGGCAGCGGGGCGAGAGAGCTGCGTTGTGCTCCAGCGGCGATTTTTGCACCGCTCGCCCTTGCACGTAAAAGAAAGTAATCAGAGCACCAGGACAGGCCCTGGGAGCGCTCAGATGGCCGATGACTAATGGGGTAGGTGGGCAGCAGCCCTCGGATTGGGTGCCTTAATGAGCACATTTCGCTCCGCGCTCGGGCTGCAGTTCCCCTTCACCTTTGCCCTTTATTGACCGAACCGACACTTCATTTTTCACATACTTCCAATTATGGCTGAGCTTAAGTGTCGTCCTGCCTCCTTTATTTCTTGCCCATGGACGGCTCAAGAAGGGGCCGAGGCCACGCAAGATATTTTAATTTGAAAAACTACCGTGGCAATTCGGGCTTAGGGTGTAACCTAAAACTGCTGCCACTTTGCAGTTTCACTGATGAAAACCAAAGTTTTAGTACCTCCGTAGTGAGGTGGGGATCATAGTTATGTGGGCTTTCGGGTTGATTATTTGGAGCTGCACAGATGCTAGTGGTAGGAATCTACATGGGGAGGAATGGAGAGGGGTGAAGGGGGCTGTGCTCTGTAGCTCCAGGTGACTCAAATTATTGGTTTGCATGCACGTGGCTTTTTCTCAGGAGACGTCTTGTAGCATGATGCCTTGAGATGTGCTTTGACTGGATGCTCTCTGTACAGGCTGGAGGAAAGCAAATCAGAGCTGTACCTGCACTTCTCAAACCCGAGACCATCATGCAGCAGCATTTGTTGTTTCGGGGCTATTCAATACACGAGTTTGCTTTCGTGGTGTTTGCAGGTTCCCAAGTTCTGCTGGAAGCAGCCCAAGTGAACTTGTGGTCCCATCAGGTGTGGGCTTTGGGGACCAACCAGCTGCTGTTGGACCTAGCATCCCGTGGTGGTGCCGCTGGGTTTGCAGTGTGCTGCTCGCTACCAGCTTTGTCACATGGAGTTTGCATGAATAATAAGTGGGCACGTCACCTGTGCTGTGTGTCAGCTGTGATTGCTTTGCATTTAAATACAGGGGCAGTGTGTGGATGGTTATTTACATCCAAACAGAGGTCCCTAAAACGCAGAAGTATTTATCTCAAAAAATGTATGAAGGATTACCTTCTTTATTATGTAGCCCTCTGGCACGGTAATGGCATGGCATATTTTTACTATAATATGGTAATAAAAGAATATGTAAAAGGCAGACAAAGGTTCTGTCTTTTCACTAAGGTGACCCCTGTTACCAAGTAACTGCTTTACTTATGAGCTTATTAAAAACTCAAAAAATGAGCTTTTCATACTTCACAGGCATTGATGTGAAAATGAGCTGTCCTGTGAGTAGTTTTCTTGATCATTTTTAGAACAATTGATTAGCCAAAGAGCCGCCGTCATTAGTTGACATTGACTGATAGCAATTTGTCACAAGCTCCGAAGGTCAGCCCGGCGGTGGGAGCTCCGGCTTGTCTTTGATTGACCTTTTCTGCTGCCATTATCATGCGATCGGTTGGGCTGGATGTGACCCTCGATTGGAAAAGACAGAGCATTAGTCAGCAGGGGCTGCTCCCTGCGCTTTTTCTGGGGGTTCAGATATTGTGAAGCCCAAATTAAGCGTAATAGGCTTGTTTGAAAGGAGTGGTGTCCGTGTGGGTGTTCTCTTGGAGGCTCTGCAGTCCCATTTGCCTTTCCTGTTTCTCCATCAAGTGGGCAGCACTCGGTTTGCTTCAGACCAGCGCATGCACCTGTGCCTCTTTGCTTGGAGTGAGATGTGAGATTGAAGAGAAAGAAGAAAGCATCTGCAAACACGGGCTTTGTAATTGCAAGCAGGAAACCTGAACCGTGGCTCTGGGTTGGAGGCTCTTCGTGTAGGTGCACATCCTTCAGCAGCACCGGCATTAATTATTTTTATCTCCGTGGAATCGTGTTTTATTTTTTAACAGTGATTGAGTGGCTGAGGATTATGCTCATAACAACACGATGTCAATTTATCATTCTGCTCTAAAGCCGGAGGGCGTGAAACTGTTTTTTCCTTCCTTCTGTGTGTTTTTCTGGTCTCGTCAGCCCGACTCAGCTGTTCGCTGCATTTTGGCGGTGCTGAACTCTGTGCTGTGGCCAGGCAGAGCTCTGCTTCCATGCAGACC